AAAAAAAAAAAAAAAAAAAAAAAAATAGTAGTATGTTCTTAGGTTATGGGGTGAGACAGTTGGGGGGGGTTGGAAAGTTTGCTTTGGCAATGTCTGTTAGAAGTTTACAGATGCAGGCTGGGTGCAGTGGCGCACACCTGTAACCCGAGCACTTTGGGAGGCTCAGGTGGGTGGATCACCTGAGGTTAGGAGTTTGAGGCTAGCCTGGCCAACATGGCAAAACCCTGTCTCTACTAAAAATACAAAAATGAGCCGGGTGTGGTGGCACAGGCCTATAGTCCCAGCTACTCAGGAGGCTGAGGTGGGAGGATCACTTGAGCCTGGGAGGCAGAGGTTGGAGTGAACCGAGATTGTGCCACTGCACTCCAGGCTGGGTGACAGAGTGAGAGCTTGTCTCAAAAAGAAAAAAAAAAGTTTACAGTTGCATATCCTATGACCCAGCACTTCTCAGTGTCTACCCTAGAGCAGCAGAATTGCTCAGAGAACTCTTTAATACATAGATTCCTGGTCTTAGCCTCTAGACTCTAGGGTGTCTAATTCAGTGAGTGTGTGTTAGAGCTGGAGCATTTGCATTTTTAACAAGCTCCCAGATGATGGTGTATTTTCATAATGAAAACTTGGAAACTGAATGTTCCAATACAGGGAAAATGGCTAAATAAACAGTGATATAGCCACAGTATGAAATACTGTGTGGCAGTCAAAAACAGTGTCGTAACTCTGGATAGTTCCTTGGCATAAAACTTCATTTGGGTGTAATAATTTATCCAAGGCTAGAAGAATCTAAATCAAGAAAGCTGAAACTCTCTTAGGCTCTCACTTGTAGTTTTCTAAGTTTATCAGTATGACCCACACTCTGTATCTGTATTGCCGCTTTTTTTTTTTAGATGGAATCTCGCTGTGTCGCCCAGTCTGGAGTGCAGTGGCGCAATCTTGGCTCACTGCGATTCTCCTGCCTCAGCCTCCCGAGTAGCTGAGACTACAGGCACCCACCACCATGGCCAGCTACCTTTTGTATTTTTATTAGAGACAGGGTTTCACCATATTGGCTAAGCTGGTCTCGAACTCCTGACCTCAGGTGATCTGCCTGCCTCGGCCTCCCGAGTAGCTGGGACTACAGGCGTGTGCCACTGCACCTGGCTAATTTTGTATTTTTAGTAGAGACGGGGTTTTACTATGTTGGCCAGACTGGTCTTGAACTGCTGACCTTGTGATCCGCCTGGCCCTATATTGCCTCTCCAGTAATAGTACTTTTCTTTATTTCAACAGAGAAACTCAATATTAAGTTTGTGACGGCTGAGGCTAGAACTGGACTGCTGTCTTTTGAGGAGAGCCAGAGAATTAAGAAGCTCCATGAAGAAAACAAACAGTTCTTGTGTATACCAAGGAGGTGAGTTGAAGAAGAATTTAGAATGCCACAAAACATACAAGACCACTAAGTATTCATTCTTTTTCTTAGCTGCCATGATTAGATCCAAATTCCCTATTTTGTTCTGGTTACTTCTGTGAGGAATTTTTTTCCTTCTATGATTGTTTCAGACCAAACTGGGACAAAAAAACTAGCCCAGAAGAACTCAAACAGGCAGAGAAAGATAACTTTCTAGAATGGAGGCGTCAGCTTGTCCGGTGAGTATTATAGACTCTGTGAATACTTACCTTACCTTGAAATCCTGAGTCCAGACACTTGGCGTGCATGTGTGGCCATTTGCATTTTGAAGTTTTGATTCTTTTAAAAAGGAAATGGTAGCATTCTACTAACAAGTGCATATAGAAGTGTGTGCAAAAACATGCTAGGTGCCCATGCATCCTTGCACAGAGATAGTGAGCTGGTTACTCTGTTCAGTTCCTGGCCTTTTCTTTCATTCCCTTCTTTGGCCATTGGGCACCCTGGAGTTGATCACTGTGCTCCTGCACATTTTTCCAGTAAGAGTTGCGGGAAGGAAATGACTTTGTGTGATAGATAAACTTCCAGGGCATAAATAGCTTCAGAATAAAATTTGAATTTGGTGGCGTATTGTGTAAATAAATAGTATTTTTATGGTGTCTTAGCAGGAAATACATAAAATAATTTGACTCGATATTTGTACACAGTACTTATTTTTAATGTAATGAATTTCAGCATTTACACTGCTAAAAATTGTCTATTGTAATCTGGCAAAGATACAAACTTCTCACTCAAAAACTAGGCTGGAAGAGGAACAAAAGCTGATACTGACTCCATTTGAACGAAATTTGGACTTCTGGCGCCAGCTCTGGAGAGTCCTTGAGAGAAGGTGAAGTACCATTTTTTTTTGTGTAATAAAGACGTTGTAGTGATGTTACATTAGATTTGGATGTTGATATAGGCTTATAGGCTCAAGGTATCGGGAATTAAGTTACGCAGAAGGTTACTAAGAATTATAAAAAGTATATTACCGTATATTTTGTACAGTTTTTTTGTTATTAGATAAATATGTTGATATGTATATGAGAATATTGAATATTTTCTGTAAGATGAATTCTGAAGCATCTATATAGATATTTTAGCAAATGTATATTGAATGTCTACTGGCAATATGGAAAATATGGGTACGAAAAGAGTTAAGTTCCTGCCTGCAAAGAGCATACGTATATGTTATGGCAAGAGGCAAATGTCAAAGCTCATGTCAGCTGGCTTTCACTACGGTCAGCTAAGTGCTAAGCAGAGCAACTGGCACCAGAGGCACACAGATGAATGAATTAATGAGTGAATGAATGAATGAATGAATTCTTGCACTCAGAGAACTTAATACATAGTAAAATACAGAGGGCAGTATAATTCCTGCTTTGCTGCAGATAGAAAGGCATTGGGCCGAGTCATAGCAGAGGAAAGAGCAGTTCATAAGTATTGAGGAAATCACGAGAATTTTTTTTTTAACTGGGCTCTGAAAAGAAGAGAATGATTTTGACAAATTGAGAATAGAAGATTTTTATTCCTTTCCATGTAACACCAAAGAGAAGTCCTGATTGTTAGAAGCTGATGAATCAAGTGTCTCCAGTCTCACCTCTTTGGTGTAGTTAAAAGGTTTTTGTTTTCCTCGAGGAGTTGCTGAATTACTTTCAAGGACTCCATAAATGAACCTTGTATTTGAAATGATGTTTTTTTAACAACAACCCTTCAGGCTCTTTTTTTTCTCTGAAATCTATAAAGTGAACCTAGCAACACTAGGAAACATAATGTTTTAATTGGGATTCTCAGAAAGAATCTTATCACATTTAGCATTGTAATTAAGAAAACGGCGCAGCTCACGCCTGTAATCCCAGCACTTTGGTGAAATCCCGTCCCTACTAAAAATGCAAAAATTAGCCAGGCTTGGTGGCACGTGCCTGTAATCCCAGCTACTTGGGAGGCTGAGGCAGGAGAATCGCATGAACCCAGGAAGTGGAGGTTGCAGTGAGCCGAGATCACGCCACTGCACTCCAGCCTGGGTAACAGAGGGAGACTCTATTTCCAAAAAAAGAAAACAGGACTCGGATTAAACTTGTAAAAGCCACTTACGTTTCTAATTAGGGTGATGACAATTAAAGTCACTTAAATACCCCCATCCTCTGCTCTCTGGGGGTACAGAAAGGGCTCTTGGGCTGGGGTGTGGGGAGGTCAGAGAAGCAGGGCACCCCTCTCAGGCGGAAGAAAGGAAAAGCTTACTGCTGATTACCAGCTCCACGCAGGCTCCTTCTACTCAACTAGGCTTGAGGAGGGGGCAGAACCATTCACTGGGGAACCGGGGAACTTCTGCGGAGCAGAGTAGACTCTTCTTTGGTGCCTCCTTGGTAGTTGAGGCTGTGTGCTCCTGAGAACGCCCGTTTTCTTATTTCCAGAGAGAAGTGGTAACAAGCACGGAAGTACTGCAGCCTGGACCTTGAGGGGAGCCCCCTCCGCCTTCACACTCCATTACAGTTTTTCTTTTGTTTTCAGAGTTTTTCCTGCTTCCCCTATTATCTGTCTTTCCTCTTTGTTCCTTTTCTCTTTATTCTAGTTTCTGACTGTTATGGAAGAGGCCTTCCTTCGATGTCTAGTGATGTTTGTCTGTCTGTATTTAAGAACAAAGCATTACAAAGCCGACTGACAGGCCTCCCTGTTTAGGTGGAATTCGCCAGCTGGTGAGCTTCGCTGTAGGGTGCCTGGGCAGGAGTCAGTTTTATTTTTTAGGAATACCTCCAGATGTTAAGATCTGTCTTTTCCCCAGAGCCAGTCAGTTTTTTTTTTTTTTTTTTTTTTTTTTTTTTTTTTTTTTTTTT